TCGCCACTTGCATTCTGCACCTTCTGTTTCAGCTCCACTCGATGATTCTTATCCTCTATCAGCATCATACTTTATGTGCTGCTTTGCTTTGTGACTCAAGGACTAAAACCTATTTTGACTCACACTCCAGAAGACCCTTCTTGGAAATTTATGTCAAAGGGAGAGAGAGAGTTCACATCAAAGCTAATTACTCCAACAGGGAGAGAGAAAGAGAGTAACAGGGAGAGAGAAACATTCTTTCAAAAGAAAGACCCCAGTTGCTTGATATTCAAAGAGGAGAGAAGTTACATGTCTTTAGAGGGGAAAGACATGTTCATATTGTGTTTTATGTGTGTTTTGCTCTGATTATCGTTTCCCTATATTCTCCCAATATCCATTATAAGATTCAGGGGGAGCAAGATATCTAAGGGAAGAAAATCTTCAAATTCATTGCATATATTTACCCTTGGGGACATGTCTACACTCAAATAGAGTACCTAGTACTCACTCTACACATGTCATCCCAAATCTTGGTATTCTTGTGGTTTACTGCTCCTGCTCTGCTTAGTAGATGTTTCTGTGTTGTCTAACCTTGTTTACTTAGGTTCATCTCTTCCAAAGCTAGTTCAAGACCACAAGGTAAGTATATGCATCAGACTCATGTGCATGAAGATCTCTTGCTGATGTACATATTGTTTGCAAGAAGGACTCATGTGCATGAAGGTACATTTCCCATGTTCACATCATTTGCTCTGATGCATATAGCCAAGACACATGTAACTCATTGCTTGCTCTGCCATGATTATGCAGTCACATGATCTTATGTTCCATATTTACATGATTGCATACATGTAGGGGGAGCCTATGCATGTTACATGTCCTTCCAAAGCTTTACTTGCTTTTCTCTATATCTCTATCTAAAGCTTTGATGTATGTTGTCATCAATTACAAAAACTGGGGAGATTGAAAGCACAAGTGCTCCCTGAGTGATTTTGGTAATTAATGTCAACATATCTCTTGTTGGACTAATACTTTCATCCAGTATATTTCAGATAAGTTCAATAGTGGAGTGGCATGGACAAGAAGATGTGGAACCCCTTCTAGATGCTAAGGACAAAGGATTGGCTCAAGCTCAAAGCTGAGGACTCTACCTTTTCCATTTTAGTGATCCAAGATCACATTGAGTCTATAGGAAAGCCAATACTATTAAAAGGGGATGAGGTGTTGCTTAATGGCTTGCTTGCTCAAAATGCTTAGTGATATGCTCCAAAGCCCTCAACCACTTTCTCATATCCACATATGTCCAAAACCAAAAGTCAAATTCGGTCCCACCGATTTGATTCATCCGGTGCCACCGAGTTCATTTGACATGGCCACTGCCAGAAACCCTAGTCTTTTCGGTCCACCGATAGGGATCTCGGTCTCACCGAGATGGGGTTGCAAACTCTCGGTTTCCCTTCATAACATTTTGGTCTAACCGAGATAAGCGATCGGTCCCACCGAGTCTGCAATGCAAACTCTCTATTTCCTTTTCATAACGCTTCGGTCCCACCGAGATTAGCAAATCGGTCCCACCGAGTTTGCCTGACCAACTCTGTGGTTAGCTTATTACCAAAGTCGGTCCAACCGAGTTTGTGTAATCGGTTCAACCGAGATTACGTTATGCCCTAACCATAATGATATCGGTCCCACCGAGATGACATGTCGGTCCCACCGAAAATGTCTAACGGTCACATATGTACTGAATCGGTCCGACCGAGTTTTATGATTCGGTCCCACCGAGTTTGGTATGTTGTGTGTAACGGTTAGATTTTGTGTGGAGGCTATATATACCCCTCCACCCTCTCCTCATTCGTAAGGGAAGCCATCAGATTATGCCTACACTTCTACTATCCATTTTCTGAGAGAGAGCCACCTACTCATGTGTTGAGACCAAGATATTCCATTCCTACCATATGAATCTTGATCTCTAGCCTTTCCCAAGTTGCTTTCCACTCAAATCAGCTTTCCACCAAATCCAATCCTACGAGAGTGAGTTGAGTGTTGGGGAGACTATCATTTGAAGCACAAGAGCAAGGAGTTCATCATCAACACACCATCTATTACCTTTTGGAGAGTGGTGTCGCCTAGATTGTTTAGGTGTCACTTGGGAGCCTCCGACAAGATTGTGGAGTTGAACCAAGGAGTTTGTAAGGGTAAGGAGATCGCCTACTTCATGAAGATCTACCCTAGTGAGGCAAGTCCTTCGTGGGCGATGGCCATGATGGGATAGACAAGGTTGCTTCTTCGTGGATCCTTCGTGGGGGGAGCCCTCCGTGGACTCGCGCAGCCGTTACCCTCCGTGGATTGAAGTCTCCATCAACATGGATGTACGATAGCACCACCTATCGGAACCACGACAAAAACATCCGTGTCTCCAATTGCGTTTGCACACTCCAATCCCATCCCCTTACTTTATTGCAAGTTGCATGCTTTACTTTCCGCTGCTCATATACTCTTGCATGCTTGCTTGATATGTATTGTGAATGTTTAAACTTTTGCTTAAACTCCACCCAAACTTGAGAAACTTAAAAAATGCCAACTTTGTGTGTTGAGTGTCTATTCACCCCCTCTAGACCCCTCTTCTCGATCCTTTCACTCTCTCATTTTCAATGACCATGTTATGCGAGATAGTACAACCTGTGAATCTCCGCAACATATCATGATTTTCCATAGGACCTTTGGGTTCCAATACATGACATGGTCACGACTGATGCCAAAGCACTTCTGAAGCACACCGAAAAGCTCTCTTCACATCCTTACTTGTCGACTCTTGAAGCATTGCAAAGGGAAATCTCTTGTTACCTTTAGGACGTGTGATTGTCTTGACAAATATGGTCCATGGAGAATAGATGCCATTTGCAAGGTAGTAACCATTCGTATACTCATGATCATTGACAACATAGTTGCAAGAGGAGCATCTCCAACAAGCCTAGCGAACAATGGTGATCTCGACAACACATTCATGTCATTGTGAGAGTAGTGGCATAGCTATGGCTGGGCCAAACCAGGCTATGGCCCGCCCAGCCCACCGAAAACTCAGTGAATAGTAGAGCAAACTTTGTATTTGAGAACGAAATTTCAGAGGCTTTTCTTGATCTGTGTCTGTAGCTCCGCCACTGTACGATGCAACAGCCTCAAGAAATGATAGTTGGATTGTTGCAGGGGCCATTGACTGACCTTTTCATCCTGTAGGAAATTCTTCCATGTCCAGTGTATGCAGTCAATTGGTCCAGGCATCCTAGGCCATCCTCGTTCCGGACTTAAAGCCTGGTATCTTCATCATATGGTGCCATCAGGTACTCTGGCCCAAAGATCTCAATCACGACTTTGGGTACCTTTGAACGGCCATCAAGATTGTATCTTCTCTAACGAATACATGATCGCCAACTGCGTCGGCCGAACACCCATATGCTAGCACTCAAACAGTCGTGATACACTTTATCAAAGGGCTCACACTTATCTCTCCGATGCACACCTCCTGAGTTTGAACAAATCAGCATGCTTCTTCCAGGGCTTTTGCAATGGTGAGAAAGAGACTTGTATGCACCCGAAATCGCCGGCGAAAATATTTTTCCTGATAGATTGGATTGATGTCGAAATAATCTCTTACAATCTTGGCATGGCCTTCTGCTCTATCTCGGTTGATGTGTATATGACCGAATTATGATTCTCTTCTTGTCCGCCGAAAATCCACATTAAAGATCATGCCAATGGCCATTTTGAAGTCGTCATCGTTTCCTTCCTCCTCCGACGACGAAGAGCCCTTGAATATCATCTCTCTCAACATTTTTATCTTGACTAGAAATGACTTGGTTCAATTCCATTGAGAAGAAAAAAAGGAGATGAAAAGGCTAAAACAACTTACCTAGGCAAACGGTCAAACACTTCAAGGGTGGTGGAAGGTGCCACGGCTGGCCGGCAACGTTGAACAGTTACTAGTGGTAGGCAACACTTCGAGATGGTCGGCTGTGCACGGAGAGCCTCGGAGGAAGTAGACGAGGTTCGTCCTTCCGCCGACGGTATCGATTTGACCGCGGCATGATGGAGCTCGATTACGGTGACAGCTGCGGCCAACGACCATGTCGGATTGGGGCAGGAGAGCGACAAGAGCGGCGAAGGTATTGTGGTGTCCCTAGAGGTGCTGAGTAGCCGCCGTTGCCGGCGCCGACGAGACGCTGAGAAGCCAAAACCTTTACTCCGCGGTTGGCCCGCTAAGTATATTCACGAGTCGGGATGATATCCTCCTCCAACTGATTTTAGGAGTTCACTTATGTGTCGTTTAAAGGAGAAAAATACTCCCTCCGTCCTATAACGTACGACGTTTTTGTCAAAAAAAAAACACCTTACATTGTGGGATGGAGGGGTCAGTTAGAGGCAAAAATGCTAGACTTACGTACAGAATTTTACGTACCGAGCTTACGTGCTGACTTGTCCTATTCTTACTCGTCTAATTAACCACCCACTCCTAATTACGTAAAAGTTTTGGTAGCTTCCCGTAGGTGTAGCATTGCTCCAGTAGTCCAGTTAGAGGTGCTCTAAGCACTGCGGGCCGGCCGTGCTCGGCACACCAAGGGAAAGACGGACCATCACGGCCATTGTGAATATTACGGGGAGCAGTCCGATTTCCGTGCGTGTGAATCGGGGAAAGGCGGGGGGCCATTTCTTGGAGTTTTCCATGGTTTCTTTCATCCGATCGATCACATCCGGTGCCGGCCGGCCGGCGAGGTCCCGATCGAATCAAATCGAGCGAAAGGTTGGTGGTGGTAACAGTGGATTTCCCCGGCAAAGCCCGCACGCACGCGCACGCACGCCCGAACGCTGTTCTTCTCCTGGCTGTTTCTGTAGCCTGCACTGCACGGGCAGCGGCAGCCAGGCCAGGCCCCAGTCCCGTCACCTCGGGTCAGTCAGTCATTCAGTCAGATGCCCCCACCGCCCTCACTCACTCCCATAGCTCAATCAATATACAAACCGACGCCACCATGGACGGACGAGACGACGTCAAAAAGCGACATCCCCCGGCCCGGGCCGCAGACGCAGCCACCCAGCCAGCCAGCACCCACACGCGCGGCACCATGCCGGCTACCGCCGTCGCGCTCCTCCTCTGCTCCCTCCTCGCCGTGGCCGGCGCCGCCATGGACCCGGCCGAGCGGGAGGCGCTGCTGCGGGTCATGGAGGCCGTCTCCTCCGACCGCGACTGGCGCTCCTCCTCGGGCACCGACCCCTGCGCCGCGCCCTGGCCGGGGCTCGAGTGCAAGCCCGACGCCGCCGACAAGCGGCTGATGCGCGTCACCCGGCTCGACTTCGGCGTGCCGCCCAACCCGGCCTGCAGGGAGGTCGCCGCGTTCCCGACCCACGCCTTCTCCGCGCTGCCCCACCTCCAGTCGCTCTTCCTCGTCGACTGCTTCAAGAACCCCGCCAAAACCGCCGCGCTCGCCCTCCCGCCCGCCGCCAACCTCTCCGCGTCACGCCTGCAGCAGCTCAGCATCCGCTCCAACCCCTCGCTGTCCGGCACGCTGCCGCCGCAGCTCGCCAGCCTGCGGTCGCTACAGGTGCTCACCGTCTCTCAGAACCCGCTCATCCGCGGCGAGGTCCCGCGGGGCATCGGCGAGCTCACCGGCCTCGTCCACCTCGACCTCAGCTACAACTCGCTCACGGGCCCCATCCCGGCGCGGATCGGCGACCTCCGGAGCCTCCAGGGCCTCGACCTCAGCTACAACTCCTTCTCGGGCCCCATCCCGAGCAAGCTCGGCCGGCTGGCGCAGCTGCAGAAGCTGGACCTGAGCTCCAACAACCTCACCGGCGGCGTCCCGGCCACCTTCTCCGGCCTCAGATCCCTCACCTTCCTGGCGCTGAGCAACAACGGCTTGAGCGGCCGCCTGCCCGCGGGCCTCGCCGGCCTCCGGGACCTGCAGTACCTGATCATGGAGAACAACCCGATGGGCGTGCCGCTGCCGCCCGAGCTGGGCGGCATCGCGCGGCTGCAGGAGCTGAGGCTGGCCAACTCCGGCTACTCGGGGTCTATTCCGGAGACGTTCGGGCGGCTGACGAGCCTGACGACGCTGTCGCTGCAGAACAACAACCTGACGGGCAGGATCCCGGCGGGGCTGAGCCGGCTGAAGCGCATGTACCACCTGAACCTGAGCAAGAACGGGCTGGACGGCGCCGTGCCGTTCGACGGCGCGTTCCTCCGGCGGCTCGGCCGGAACCTCGACCTGAGCGGCAACCCGGGGCTGTGCGTGGATGACCGGGCCGCCATGAAGGAGGTCGGCGTGGACGTCTGCGGAGGCGACGGCGGCTCCGGCGCTTCCCCCGGCGGAGCGATCGCGAGGGGCGGCGCCCTCTGGCCGTCGGCCTCCGCGCTGCTGTGCTGCTGCCTCTTGCTCTGAGACTCGTCGCATCGCATGGCTGATGATGTAGTAATCGGACTGATTAGTCGCTCGCTCCCTGTATGTAATTCTGCTGCTTTGTAGTAACGTCGATTTGTGCAAGAATTCGTCGAGTTGTGGTGGCGTGGCGCGGCACAGTGGCGCGCATAGGGTTTTGTCTCGTGGCTTGTTAGGCTGGGCCATAGCGGTCAACGAAAGCGCCGGGGACTACTGGAGTGCTAATCATACTGTCTTCAATGCACTCTGCCTGTGTCCTCTGTTGCGTGGAGCCGATTGAGCTGGTCATGCGCTGCATTTTGCATCAGTTTTCAGTCGCTGATCTGATCTCCCTGTAGCATTGTAGTACTCACTATGGCTTTGTGCTTGCCACCAAAGTTTTAATATGTCATTTAGCGGTGGCGCCGCGCCGTAAATTCGTCGGTTTTAGCGTGCGCGCAATAACGACGCGCGCGGTAAACCGAGTTGGGCGCGCTGTCGGAAACGCCATCCCGCGCGGCGTATTTCGGGCGCCTGGTACAGCGCGCGGCACACTCGACCGCTCGCGCCGCACTCTCTCCTTTCCTCCTTTCCTCCTTTCCTCCTCCTACGCCCCGCGCGCGCCGGCGCCGGCGCCACCCATGGACG